AGGGCCCATGCTTCCCAGTCTCCAGCACTGGGACCCCCGCAGCAGCCAGCTGCTCCTTTTGCAGGAGAAGACAGAAGAGGCACCTTGCTGCTGCTGCCGCTCCTAGAGATGCCAGAGCAGAGGGGCAGGGGGCTCTGGGAGAGGACTTAGAGACCTCAGCAGGGCCAGTGCAGAGCCACAGCTGAGCAGCTGGGTCATGTCTGACACCCTGGTCTGCCAGGAGCCACGGCCCAAGCCCCTCTCCAAGGACCACAAAACTACTGCCCGGAGGGCTCCAGTTCCTGGGCGCCTGCCTGGAGGCCAAGGAGGCTGCAGGAAGAAGGCACAGCAAGTGGAAAAAAGAGCTGGAAGAAACTCCCGGGTTGCGAAGGGAGAGCGTGTAATATGGAAAAAGAACCCACAGGGGTGGCGTTGGTAAATGGGCTTTACAAGTAAATGACTTCTGCATAAAAGTCTGGAATTTCACCTCTCCCCATCCCACCCCCAGTACCCCACAATCTAGACTTCTTGGCGTCTGCCCTGGGAGGAAGCTATCTGAGGCGGGCCAGCTCCCTCTCCAAGTGGCGGTGGTGGGGGCTAACGGCCTGGTGGGAAACGTCAGCCTCGGTGATCGCCACTGCCAGGGGCCACGTTTCCTCCTGAGTCTGCCTGCTGGCCCTACGAGGGCTGGATGCAAGCAATTGCCCTCAGAGATGTCTCTGCGGGGGCCTGGGGACATCAGGGGACCCTATCGCCCCACACAGGACCCTGGCCCTCCATAGGAGCTCTTCCCATTTGCTACCAGGCTCCCCTTTTGCCAGCAGGACCATGACAAGGGATGCGCCCTGCTCCCCAGTTGCCTCTGCAGCGAAGGTCCCAACACCAATCTCAGTGTCTCAGAGGTGCCATCTCAGACCAGGCAGCCAATAGGGGCCAGAAGAGCTCAGGAGTCAGAGCCACCCCACCCCAATTCTTTCTCTCCCCCCACCGCGCCCCCCCTTTCCCCTGGAATAGCGCACTTCCTCACAGCCGCCATCTGCTTGGCCTCTGCCAGAGCAGGATCAGTGACAGGAAGTCACCCTCACCTGGCCCTGAGTAACACTAGCTAGCAGCAGAGCTACCTGCTTTTGTCCTACTTACAGGTGAGGATCAAAAGGAAAGAGAAGAACTGCCCAGCTGCCCCCCCCCATGCTCCAACAAAACCTCTCCTCCCCTGAGACCTGGACCTTCCTCTCACCCCGCCCCCTCAGCCCAGGCTCGGAGCTCCCACAGCGCCAGCCTTCCCAGTGAGGCAGAAGAACAGGCAGGCCCAGAGGGGGAAGAAGCACTGGCCCAGGGACACGCTTCCCTTTCTGCAGCAAGCCTTTCCCCAGAGCCTCAAAGCCCAGGGCCAGGCTTAGCGCCTGGAGACAGACAGGAGCTGGAGGAAGGGCCAGCCACCCCGGGGGCGGGGGCGATGCCAGAGCGCTGCAGTTCCCAAGGAGGCGCCCTTGCGCTTGGCTTGGGTCCTGAGGTATGAAGGCATGAGTCGGAGCTCCGCTGGCAGAGCCCGCAGCAATCCTGCCCTTCGGGTTTTGTTGTGGCTTTTCCCCCACAGTCTGAAGCGCAGCGCCTGATGTCAGCACTTTGAGCAGGAATCCCCGTGGCTGTGACTGCAGTCCTTGTAGCTGTTCTCTCCCTTGCAGCCCTTGGCCACATCAAGCTCTGTGGGAAACCAACTTAGTCATCAGAAAGTGGCATGCTAAACCAACAGTCACAGGGCCGGGGCCAGGGGCTAGACACAGTGCCTGGGGAGGGACATCGGGGCCACCAGCAGCAGCCTGGCCCAGCTCACCATGATCCTAGAGACTAGGAGTTCTCTGGAGCCCTCTCTGGCCACCAGCAGCAGCCCCAAGGGCAGCTCTGCGGGGGAAGAGGGGCCCTTGGCAGGCATTAAAGAGTGGGTGCGGAACGCCCACCTCCTACTGAGGCCTAGGCAAGCCCTTTCCAGTTCCCATCCCCTCCGGAAATGGGGAGCGAGCACACTCCCCGTGGGAAAAGCCTAGAGCCAAATCCCCTGGGTCATCTGCTCAGACCAAAGATCCCTTCGGGCCTCCCACCTCTGCGTCGGAATCTGCACTCCGGTCCTGGAGAACAACACTCAAAGGGTCACTCCTGTCCTTTGCCTTTTCAGTCTTTTCTCCACCCAGCCCTGTCCCTACTCTTCCCTGTCTGCACCCACAGTTCTTGGTCATCCCAGTGCCCTGGTACCCAGCAGGGAATGGGATCAGAGAGTGCCCGCCAAATGCTTCCATGTGTCTTTGAGAGAAGCAAACCTGGCTCCATTTGTAAGCCTCAAATGGTACTGGAGCAAGTCAAGTCCCTCTCTGTGCCTCAGTTTCCTTTTGGAAAACTGAACTGGCCCACCCACCTCCTGTCCCCTCCATAGCCCCACATGAGGGAAGGACTGTGCAAAGTGTCCCCAGCCTCAAGGATTGAGAAGTTCTCTGCCTTGTTCTTATAACCTGCCTATGACATCAGTTTATTGAAGATAAACAAAAACAAAACAGAGGATCTCGGGCTGGCATCGCCGCCCTTCCCTGCACAGAAGCGAGAGCTCAGGCAGCAGCATGGTGGGCTCAGGGTCACACAGCTAGATGTTTGCCAAGCTGGGCATCCTCTGAGCCACTCGGCTGTCCAAACACTGCCTCCCCTGCCACACACCCTACCAGCTGCCCCACCATGAGTCTCCTGTGCCCAGGGGGCACCGGCCACATGTCTGTGGGCACGGTGGAGCTGGGTGCAGAGGGGGTATAAAAGCCCAGGGTAGTGGAGTCCCAGAAAGTAGCTTTCCTCTTCCCAGGCATTGGTCCCATGCCACCAGGGGACTGGCACCAAAGGTGGCCCCAGGGCTTGGCAAGCAGTAGGTTAGCTTGTGTTACAGGTGACCTGGCACGGTGTAGGCTATGGGCTGCAAGATGCAGACCAAAGGGATCAGTGACCTGTGGAAGTCTGGGTGGGAAACCAGGCAGGCAGGCTTCCGGCTGCCAGATGCATTGGGCTGGAACTGGGGGCGTTCCCTTGGCATGTAACTAAAGACAGCTCAGGGAACAGGTGCTGATGCCTACTTTGGCCAGCTTCCAGGCCCAGCGCCGGGCGGGCCCCAAGTTCCTGCCCGGCTAGATCTCTCTTTCAGGAGGCTGTGGGGGCACTGGGCAGAAAGACAAGCACACAAAGCAGGCTGAGTCAGGAAGGCTTCGTCTGGGATCTGGACTTGAGCTGCCATTTCCGTTCAGAGAGCAGCTCCTCATTGAGTGGCTCACCTGTCTCCCTGGGGAGACCGCCACTCCTCTGGGCCAGGTGCAGGGCACATTTCTCTTCCAGCCCTCGCTGCCCAGCTCTGGCCAGAGGCTAAGAACTGGCTCTGCTCTTTCAGGAGCACAGCAAAGGTTAGACCTGAGCAGCCCTGAATAGCATGCAAGCTGCCCTGGTAGCTGCACAGCTCCTCCTCCTCTTCCTCCTCCTCCTCCTCCTCCTCCTCCTCCTCCTCCTCCTCCTCCTCCTCCTCCTCCTCCTCCCAAGCTCCCTTCTTTCAGGAAGCCTGCCCTGACCTGTCCAGCCAGGGCTGCTCCCCTGCTTTGGGCGTGGGGCACCCCTAATATTTTTATGCCACCCAGAGCTTCAGTACCCTGGGTGGTCACAGGCTGCTCCTGTCACTGAGTCATGGAAGCGAACAGATCTGAGGCACCTACTAGGTGCCACCTTCTGCCAGCTCCACCTGCTGCTTCTTGGTGGAAGGAGCAGGCAGGTAAGATGGCTCTGTTCCTTTTGCTCTGGCATGATGTGAGCACCATAGTCCTCAGAAAGCCATCTCGGTCTGTGCATCTGTGTCCCGGCCACTTGCTGGCCTCCCAGTTGGCTCTGCAGCTTCAGATGAGACTTTCCTCAGCATCCCTTCACACTAGCATGCAGCTGGGGAGGTGGCTGGGTTCTCTAACCCAGAGCTCCCTCCCCACTGTTTGAGCCCAACAGCCAGTGGGTCCCTGCTTCCTGTCCCCAGCCAGTCACCATGACAAGAAGTCCCAAGAGCTATGAGACCAAGGAAGACTATGATTTGTGTCAGGAGCCTTGAACAGCACCCAGTGGGGTGGGAGAGGATGTTTCTCAGGCACCAGCATAGGTAGAGTTCCTGCCCTCTGCCGACTCTGGGTCCTGAGATGCCACAGCACCCCACAGGGTTGGGCTGAGTTCCAACAGCTAGGGGAGGACACAGCTCCACCAGCAGCACCACTGAGGTCCCAGAGCCCCATCTCACAGCTCCTTGGAAAGCCAGGCTGCCCTGGACAGGAGATGGCCTAGCATGTCGCCCATTAGACCCCCAGCTCGGAAGTAAGAGCAGACAGGAGGACCTGAGATTCCAACCTACCTCTAAGGTGAGGTATCGCTCTGCCTTTCCAAAGAGGACAAAACAATCTCGCAACAGAGCTGGGCACTGCAGATCCCGTTGATAACACCACAGACACCAGATTTGGCGCATTCTATCTGAGCTGCAGCATTTCCCTTCCCCATGGCCCCTCTCAGATCGTCCTCTGCCCAGCACATGCCCAGCGTGAGCCACCAGCCAAGGGTTCTGGCTCTCAGTTTTCTCCTCTATGGAATGGACACAGGGTACTGGGTGGTCTGAGCTTCCCTGGTTTATGCAGCAGCAACTTTTGGATTGCTCTGCCCCCTCTTGCCACTGAGCAACCATCAAAGGATCTCTTCTAGGAAAAGTGACGAGAGGACCAGGACAGCAGGGGGGCCACTTGCCTTGGGTACACAGGCCTCCTCCACCCCTCTTTTAGTCTCTTCATTCACAGCGGAAAGGGTGGAAGCCAAGAGAACTGCCTCTTGAAGGGAACCCGAGTAGGCATATTTGCGCGGCTGAGGGTTATGGAGGGGAAACTGAGGCAGGACCCGACTTGTCCCCAGCTGGGCACGGAGTGGGAGGCCCTCACTGCCTCCCTGCCGGGCCGCATCCGACGGCAACCCGACAGCCCTACCTGGCGCAGGTGCCCGGGTCTTACGGTGGGCGCGGGACGCGGGCGCGGGCTCCCTCGGGTAGGCAGCGCCCAGGCAGGGTGGGGCGGTGGGCTCGGGGCGCAGCGGGCAGCGCGCAGGGAGGCTCGGAGGCTCGGACTGGGCTCCGCCCGCAGGAGAACAAACAGGTTTTCTCCGGCCGGGAGCCTCGCCCCTCGCCCCTCCCCTCGGCCGGCCCCCTTCCTCTGCCCTCTCCTGGGGTAGGTAGAGGAGCCTGGCACATTCCGCGCATTCTCCCGCCAGTAGCCTCGGCCCGCCCCACTTCCCGGCCCGCTCCGCCCGGGGCCGTGGGAGAAACCGAGGCCGCGCTGCCCTCCGAGCCCTGGGCGAGCCGCGGGAGGCGGGGGGCGGGGGGCGGCTGGGAACCTCCCGGCACGTTTCCCCGGGTTCTGGCTCCCGGCTCCCGGCTCCCGCCCGGTCCTGCCGCGTCCGCCCGACGATGCGGCCCTGGCGCGGGGCCAACGACTTGTACAGATGCTGGAGAGAACTACCGTTGCTAGATCCATTTTACAGATGGAGATCCCAGACAGGGCGGGGAGGGGCCGGGCCGGGACTGAGATCATCCAGGAAGTCTGGAGGACCGGGCTGGGAAGGAGGAGAAAAAAGTGAAAGAGCAGATTTGGCAGCGCCGGAAACCCGCTCCGTGGAAGGCCACCCTGGGTGACTCGGGCGCCCAGGACACAGCAAATGGGGCACCTAGCGGACTGGGCCAAGAGACGCTGAAGACCCCAGAGCCAATGCAGTGGGGCACGCAGCACTCATCCGGAGTGGTCCCGCCCTCGCTGGGTGCACAGCGGTGGACTGGGGGCTGGGGCGAGGCCACCAAAATGATCCTCTTCACTTGTCTGGGAGGCCAGGTGGAAGGGACACGTAGGCCACCCCAAGAGATGGCATAAGAGCAGGTCAGAGCTGACCTGTCAGGACGATTCCATCAAAAGGTGGAAGACCAAGTCCTCCTCCCTCAGGTCTAGCCAATCCTGTAGCCGGGAACCTGGGCTGTCGGTTGTAGCCCAGCCCGCTTGCTACTTTCCCTGCCTTGGGGCTCCCCTCCCTCCGCCCTCCAGGGGCTTGCAGCCATGGACACAGTGCTCCCTTGCTCAAATCCTTCTGTGGCCTCCCTTGCTCTCAGAATCAAAGCCAAAGTCCTTAAGATGAACCTAGTGTTCCCGTGCGCGTGCTGCAGCGCACTCACACAGTCCCCTGTTCCCAGATCACTGTGTGTCTTCTCTTCTCAGCACACTTACTGCCGATGTTACAGGCAGCTCAGTTAGATAGAAATGTAGTGGGCAGACAGGGCTAGGCCCGCCCGGGAAGGAGTCAGCGTGGAAGGTAAGAACACATTACAACTGTGAGTGGAGGTGCATTCGTTGAAGGCCAGGGCACCAGACACGGATGGAAGGGGTACACCTCCATGCCTCCCTGAGGGGCCGGTGAATATTCTAAATAGGCACCAGCCACCTGAGTGGTGACCAGGACCGCCCCGACACATCCCTTGGAGGACAGGTCCTTGCTTCCCCATTAGATCAACAGCACCTAAGCGGTTACACTTGTACTCTTAGTGGCTGCCATAGTTTTGTCCCATTTTATGCCCACCTTGTGATTTTCCTCGATAAAACTTCCTTTGAGAGGTAGGCTGCTGGCAGCCCTCTTCCGGTGTCGCCTCCTGCCCCTCCTAGACAGAAGCTGACTCTCCCTCAAGAAATATTTCCCATCCTTACCCTCTACAGTTCCTCAGAATTCCTTCTTCAGTTCTGGGGAACAGGAGCCCAGCGTGTGGGCCATCTAGCAGGTTGGGTTATAATAGCTCCCTGCCTCATTTGGTGGTCCCGCATCATTCCTGGAACTGCAGTACCTACACTCTCGGATACCCTTCCTGTATCCTATGGCTGAGGGATGACCTCGTTCATCCTTCAAGACTTCACGGAACTGCCCTTTAGTCCTCCCCTGCCTGACACCTGGTAAGACACCCACTCCCTTCTGGGCACTCCCGAGAGAATAGTGGCTGTTCTAGATGGTGAGCTCTGGGAGGGCAGGGCTCCGTCTGATTCATCTCGGAGCCATAGTGACAGCGAACTCCAGGCATCTGCAGAGGGGTGGCGAGGCCCTGGACCTGGATTCCCCCTCCTTTCTGGGCTTCCTTAGGCGAGGCAAAGGTGGCCCGAGTTCCTGAGGGTGGGGATGGCACATAAAGGCACTTCCATTTGTCTCTGCCTCCTTTTCTGCTTCTGACATGGTATATCTGTCTCAATGCCTCCCTTGCCTGACTGGCGCCTGGTATCCATGGATCTGCCTTATCATCCTAGCTTCTAAACTTACCCCTAAGGACATCAGCTGTGTCACACTTGCCCCTGGTCCTCTGATCCCCTCAAGAGCCTTTAGCCTAAAGAGGTAGGATGCCGAGGGATGCGTCCGTCAGGGGGTGGGGAGGAAGTGGCAGGCTCTTCCGTCCTAAGGCCACCTTCAGGAGAGGCCAAGTTTGTTCCAGAGCCCACAGCCAGGATGAGCCATCTGAGGAGCACGAGTGAGAGTGACCAAGGGTGTGGCAAGCCAGTGAAGCCTGCCCCAGGCTGAGCTGTCCCCAAGCCTTGAGCTCTTCCCGTGTCCCAGGTGACTCAGCCCTGCTCATGCCAGATCTGTCAGGTCACCTCCAGCCACAGACCAGCCCCCCAACGACTCCTCCCCCTGGCCAGGCTGCCAGGCCCTGCAGCAGATCTTGCCTGCAAACGGGTTTGACTCGAACAGTAACTGCCCTGCCCTGCCCTGCCCTGCCCTGCCCTGCCCTGCCCGCCTGTTCAGTGCCCCAGCAGAATCTTCCAGCGATGCTTTCGGCCCCGCTCCTTGTCACGGCCAGTAACCAGGCTCCTGCTGGCTGCTTCAGCCTCCTCAGACAGCAGACCTGCCCACATGACGTGGAGAGTGCTACCATCACACCACTGGGCACCCTGCATGAGATGTCCCCCCTTCGTTTGGAATGACATTTCCTCCCTGGGGATACCAGGTGACCTCCTGTCACTCTTAGCCCCCATGGAGTCTCCTTCATGAACACTCTCTTGGGCTTCCCTGAGGTTCTAGCATCAGATTCTGGTGGCCACTGGATCTACCCTGCCTGGCTTGGCCTTGCTGGCCCTGCCCCTGCCCACTTTGTTCTTTCCTGGCTCCTTCTCCAAGTCTGGACACTTTCCAGGACATCACTCCAGTCAAGGCCCTGCTCTAAGGGCACAAGTGCTGGTCTGAAGTAGGGTTGGCTGGGGTGGGATAGGGCGTAGATGGGCTACCAAAAGAGACAAGAGGCCTAAAAGGTGAAGAGGCAGGTGGCAGCCCTGTGTGAGGGGGCCACAACTCAGGAGCAGGCAACAGAGACAGATTTTCTGGGAGGCAGGGGGGAAGCCAGCAGATGGGGTGGGGAACAGGTTGCCATCTGGAAGTGCCATTCCCATGGGGGTGCTGCGAGTGGAACGCAGGCTTGGGAGGAGAGACGGCCAACCCAGGCAGTGCCCCTATACATCAGGGGACTGCCAACAAAAAAACCTGAACCCTGCCATTGTGCGAATGAGGAAGTGGGGGCCCAGAGAAGAACAGGACTAAACCAAGATCACATGGCTCAGCTGAGGCACCTGGTGGACTCTTCCAGAAGCCAGGTCTCAAACTTGGGGTTTGAGATGCTCTGGATGGAGTCTCTGCCCAGCTGGCTAGGATCTGGGGTGCTCGGGTTCATGTGTATCAAGGGCCTGGCTCCTGCTTGTACCCTAATCCCCTGCTCCCCTCCCTCTCTCCAGAGGCCCGCCCAGCTGTCTCATCCTGCTAAGCCTTTCAACCGGTTTCCACTTGCTGGGTGACTTTGCTGACTCCTCAAAGGGTGGGTGCCCTGGGGGCAGAGCACTCCACGCCATATGGGCTATACCCATAATGGGGCCAGTGGAGCCCTGAGCCTCCAGGTCTGCAGCTAGATGCCCCGTTCGGGGATGGTCCAAAGGGGGAATAGTGAGCCTCCCGCCCCCCCCCCAGACCTTGCCTTACAGCCTAAGCTTACACCGCTGACGACAAGGCTGTGGCCCCCTTCTCTGGTATGCACGCACACACAGTCACTTGCCAAATGTCCCCACCACACAGTCCACCCCCACCCCGCCCAGAATTCAGCACCTGGAAACCAGAGCAGCTCCCAGTGTAGGGGGTGGGAGGTGGAGCGGTCCTGCCACAAGGGGCAGCCTTGGGGACCAAGGACTGTTGGCTCAGTGGACTGTGACCCCATGGGGAGCAGTGGCCTTATCTTACAGCCAGGGGACAAAGAGGTCACACACCTCCTCTGAAGTGCTGCATTCTAATACCTTCTGGCCCTGTGCCTGGCTCCCCACTGCCCTGCAAAGCCACCACTTTGAGTAAACCCAGGAAGCCTCCTCTGAATCTTAGTGTGCGTGACCCAGTGCCCCAGAACACAGCTTGGCTTTGTCCCTGGCCCGAGGCAGCTCCAGGCCTGCCTTCAGAGCATGAGTGGCCGAGCTGAGCCAAGGCCTTGCTGGCAGATAGGCTCACAAGCCCTGAAAAATGGCTTTTTGCTGCTTTAGGAATCATCTGCAGATTGGAAAAAGAATGTTCTAATTGGAAAACGTCCCCGCCATGGTTTTCCGGAGTTTTAGTACAGTTGGCTGGCTAGGAGGCTCCTGGGATGAGGAGAAAGGGAAGTCATGAGGAGGAGATAGTGGGCGCCATGCCCAGCACCCCCTCACCCCCTGAGCTCAGTTCAGCTGCTGCTGGGCAACAGGCCTGTGCTCTCCCTGGAGAATCTGGGGCTGTCTGGCCCCAGCTGGACGCCCCTCCCTGGAGCACAGCCCAATCCTGCCCCCTAGAGGCCCTGCAGCTGTCCCAGCTCCAGGAATGGGCCCCACTGGGCACCGAGAGCCAGGGCCTGGAAGAGGACGGCTTGGGAAGCCACAGCCTGCTCAGAAGCGGAGTTTGTACTGGGGCGCTGGGCCGGGGTAGGGGGCCTGGCAGAGAGCTGCAGGCTGCGTGCAAGCAGTGATTTATAGACATGGCGTCCTGTGAAGTAGGCCACACCGACCCAGGGCCCTGCTAGGCCTGGCCCGCTGCTGCAGCCACTGGGACCTGAGCGCCAGGGACCTGCTCAGTGCCAG